GCCTAAGCAGTGACCTATACCATGACCTTATAACCTCTTTAGACTAGTGTTCTTATCAGGGATAGTACGTAGCGAGGTGTCACAGACTGGCTGTCTTTCCTCTGGTTATTGCTGGAAAAGTAGGCAGATGGACTTAGTAGCTTTACAGTAAATGCAAATACAGTCAATGGTGGTGTCAAATAACGTTGTCCAATGAGCATTCCCAAAACTTGTGGTAAGGGATTATCGGTTTATAACTTTATATCAATGTTACAGTTATTATTTTATTACCGACCTACAATACGCGTTATTTCCTGTTTTTATGTAGTAAGACGGGTTTATAGAAACTGAAATATTTAATAGCATGATATGTAAAGCTAATAATATCCACGTTCTTTATTCACGTGAGGTTGGTAATGTTCATGTGAGGTTGGTAATTTCCACGTTCTTTGTTCATGTGAGGTTAGTAATATCCACGTTCATTGTTAATGTGAGGTTGGTAATGTCCACGTTCTTTATTCGTGTGATCACACGAAAAATAAACGCTTCTCGCCACAATATCACTACCAACAAACATGAAGATTATTAACTTCACATGAACAATGAACGTGGACATTATCAACCACACATGAACAAAGAACGTGGACATTACCAACATCACATGAACAAAGAACGTGAACATTACCAACATCACATGAACAAAGAACGTGGACATTACCAACCTCACACGAAAAATAAACGCTTCTCGCCACAATATCACTACCAACAAACATGAAGATTATTAACTTCACATGAACAATGAACGTGGACATTATCAACCACACATGAACAAAGAACGTGGACATTACCAACATCACATGAACAAAGAACGTGAACATTACCAACATCACATGAACAAAGAACGTGGACATTACCAACCTATCTAAAAATGTTTCACCATTTTGTCTTAAAAAGAATACACCCATCTGTCGGCTACTTCTACAAGCACTCTTTTTACATAATATCACTTAAATCGTTGTGTAACATGAGCAATATAGATTACTGTACTTTGAAATACAGTCGTAAAGAATAGCCTTATCTCTCCTTAGGAAGTTCATACATTTCGGATGTATTCCTACGTCAGTTTTGTACCTCCTACGTGTTGATCTAAACGATTGGCAGGATGAACATTTATACGTATACATCGTTTTAACATTATTGTAACTGCTAAAAAATATGAAAGCAGTTTGTGTTTTTTAATTAATATAAATTTCTTAGAACGTTAACTGTCATATCGACCGTAAAGTAAACACTGTACTTGTTTTCAGTGTAGTAGTTTCCAGCAAAAAGAACGTTTAACTACATTTCAACCACACGTTGTTGTACTTTTCATTCAGTATCAGAATCATTCATTGTTGTAATACTGTTAACGAGACTGCTCATTCAGTATCAGAATCAACCATCCATTGTTGTAATACTGTTAACGAGACTTCTCATTCAGTATTAGAAGCAACCATTCATTATTGTAGGATACTGCTCATGATACTTTTTATTACATATCAGAATCAACTAGTCATTGTTGTAGAACACTGCTCTTGAGACTTTTTATTGAATATCAGAATCAACGAGACTTTTTATTAAATATCAGAATCAACCAGTCTTTGCTGTAGAACACTGCTCACGAGACTTTTTATTAAATATCAGAATCAACCAGTCTTTGCTGTAGAACACTGCTCACGAGACTTTTTATTCAGTATCAGAATCAACCAGTCTTTGTTGTAGAACACTGCTCACGAGACTTTTTATTAAATATCAGAATCAACCAGTCTTTGTTGTAGAACACTGCTCACGAGACTTTTTATTCGGTATCAGAATCAACCAGTCATTGTTGTAGAAGACTGCTCATGATATTTTTTATTCAGTATCAGAATCAACCAGTCATTGTTGTAGAAGACTGCTCATAAGATTTTTTATTCAGTATCAGAATCAACCAGTCATTGTTGTAGAAGACTGCTCATGAGATTTTTATTCAGTATCAGAATCAACCAGTCATTGTTGTAGAAGACTGCTCATGAGATTTTTTATTCGGTATCAGAATCAACCAGTCATTGTTGTAGAA